GCCATCAACACACTGCGTTCAATTATAGAGAAAAATAGCACAGATAGTGCGGGTGTTGAGTAAATAAAATGATCGCTCTATTGATGGCATGTTTGTTTTATTTCTAGTTTTTTTTTTTTATTATTTATTTCAAGAAACCGCGAAAGTAGTTATTTTAGTCTTCTCAGGAATTTGATTATCCATTTGTTTCTAAATATTCTTTCAAAACTTTGGAGAAACGAGGAAACGTTGCAATTTTGTCGACCACACCAAGGCACTGAACACCAATGGCTGATAAAGTGTAATGGCTTAGCCAATCAGGTTGAAGTATTTGCATTAGTTTTCAAGTAGAATTCTACCAGTTAACAATACAGTAACTCTAAACACGCTACAGCTGATCGAAATGTTATTCAGGCTGAACGCTAATCAGGCTAACCTAGATACAACAAGACTGTGGACCCGCAGACAATACTCTTATTAACCTAAAAAGCGCTCAGGTAATAGACTGGATGACGCTCAGGTTAGTCTGTTTTTGGTCTCATGAATAATGGTAACCGTTTTCGCTTATTTAGCCAGTGATTTCGCATCGTTTCGCTGGTTTCGCTTGTTTCCTTTCCCTTGCTTCGTTTCCTTGTTTTAGGTTTTAAAAGAGAGAAAAACAAAAGGAAAGCAAAAAATGGAAAGGAAACAAAAGCAAAGTATTAGTAAGGAAAGGCAAAAAGCAAGGACAACAGAGCACAGCATAGGATGGACAGGACAGGGCAGGGCATGACAGGAAGGGGAGAAGGAATAAAGGGGGGCAAAATGGTAGGGAGGGGCGTGGGAGGGAGCGACAGAGGGACCTGGAATGGGAGGGAGGGAAGATAAAAAGTAAGGAAGCATTGGAAAGTCAATGCACCTACCAATTACCGTCCGGTTTGCCGATATGTATAAATACATGCGTATCATCATGAATGCGCCTCATGAAACAATTTGAACACAAATCAAAATTGGGACAAACGCCACATTTCCAACGTGTTCCAGTAAGTGGATTTTCCAGGCAGCCATCACAAGTGACAGTGCTGTGCATAACACCTGTGAAAGAAGAATGTCACACATCTTATTGTAAGTCACTAAGTACAACTGAGGAAGCAGCATTGCCAACTGGTAAGGGCGCCGGACTTGAAATCCCGATGTCGCGGGTTCAAGTCCCGCACTGACCACTTAGCTGGAGTTGTTTCTCGTTAAAACCTAGTTCAACTCCTCGGTCATATTTAACAATTAGACCCGTAGCCCGCAAGGGCTACGGCTCAATAACCCATGAGGCGAAGCCAAATGGGCTATTGACCCATGGCCCTTGAGGGCAAAGGGTCTAATTGTTTTAGTATCACCCAACTAGTCGGACAGAAAAGGCAA